ACACAAAACGTACCGTAGGCAGATGGCGAGTCGCTCTGCGGGTCCGATTGACAAACGCATACGGGTGTCTGCCTTTGCAATCAGTGGACCGACTTTTCCGAGCAACTCGTCGAACGCGTCTTTGCTCATCCTGAAGTACTGCTGAAACAGTACACCATCCAGGCGGAGCTCTTGGACAAGAACGTGGTATTCCCCCCGTTGCAGACGTTTTCTGAGTATTGTATGTACCCAACAGCGACGCACTATACGTGGCCTCCTGCGAGACATTGCATAAACCAACGCTACCGTTGCTACAAAACCGGCATCCATTTTGGCAATAGTGTAGAAGAACCGGGCTTTTTTTTGCTTTGTATGCTGGGGGCGGGCGGGAGATTCCTGATTGGTTGTTGGTCGCCTTGGGCGCGAGAAATCGCCAAGCCTTCAGTCCTTGCTCTTGGCACATCTAACAATACTACATCATGCGATCTCAGACAATAGCTGCTTGCAACTCTCTGTGTTATCAGAGAGCAGATATAATATAGGAGTTTACCCAACAAAGCTTTATAAATAAACGTGTACCAATGACTGAGCCTCTTTACAGTAAGTGATGGCAAACCTGCCTTGGTATACAGGGTACAGTGATGAGTAAGTGCTTTACAATTTGTGACAAATCTCAGTGCGCTGTGATAGGCGGCATCTAACTTGTTCAGGCAATAGGCAGGTGCATTCATATAGATCAAATCACCATAGTCCAGCACAGGTCAAAAGGTCACAGCGACTAGCCTTTTCCTGGCTTCAAAAGAGAAACAGGACTTGTTTCTGAAAAAAAAACCTAGTCTAACCCTCAGCTTTTTAAGCAGGTTATTGACATGAAGTTTAAAAGTAAGACAATCATCAAGCCAGATACCAGCAAAACTATAAATAATAATCTAAGTTATTGAGTTTTAACATAATACTTCAGAATCTTAAAACCCCTTAACGTTTGTATGCAATTGTGCTAAATTCAACACTGGAATCAAGCAAATATTAATGTTTGCATGACATTAGTTATTTATATTTTGATATCACTTAATTACTCATTTAATACATTTAAGTCAAGCTAAGGTACATGTGATGGTAGCTAGTTAGTGCTCTTTCCTGTGAGGCCTCCTCCAAACAGCATAATAACCAGACTGTATCATTAAAACTAAGTACCAGTTCTAGATCCTTGACTTTAGACAAACAATTCAAAAGACAAAATGTATTTAAAGACCAATCTTTATTTGAATGTGCCTCTTAACCTGAGATATTAGTTATACAGTAATAGTATTGACAATCTAAAAAAACTGAGCAACTCAACAGTCAACTTTATGTTTCTTATTGTCTAAAGCATTTATTATTTTCATTTTTCCCCTCTCATATTCAGTGTGGACGGATTGAGACAGCATGGTGTCCAGAGAGCTGCTGAGACTTCAGGGAGAAACCTCCGTGTGATGGACGTCCTGTCTGTTGGTTTGGAGAGGACTGAGGGTCTTTCCTCTGCGAGGAGGACCAGGCTTGATGGAGGAGCCCATGCTGGGCAAAGCTGATACCAACTGCACAGGCCTAGTCGGTCACTTTATTTGACTAAATGTGTTTAATACATTTAATAGGTTTACACCTTCTGTCCATATGTGCTTTTTATTTAAAACATTTGATTAACTTTTGGTTCACATTTCAATAAATTGTATTTGTATTTGCACTCCTTTTGTCCATTATTCTTACTGAAAATGTTAGATTACACATTCACATCTGACTGAAGATTGGCCCCATTTATTTGTGACGTTGCAAAACAAGGTACATGTTGTGAAGCTCATAAAGTGAGGCAAATAGAAATAATCAGCTGATGGAGTGTAGATGTGGAAATAGCTGCATTCGATCAGCTGACTGTTTTTACAATAAAAGTAGTTTCTTAGTGAATGTCCTGTACTGGTCTTAAAATCTCATAACATCAGCTTTTAATGTTCCTCTTGGATGTTCTTCTTGACCCTCAGAGAAGGAGAACATGTCGTGTCTTTCAGGCATGTCCTTTCCTAACAAAAATGACAGGAAACATAAAACATATTATTGCAGAACAAGTGTGTTATTTATGAAAGCGGTGTGTTTGTGTGTTTAGGGGCTGTAGATATAATTATTTTGTAATTGTAATGTTTTTTTTTTATTTCAACAATGAGCTACAAAGACAATCAGATTATGAATGAACAGTATGAAGTTCATCAACATTGAAATATATGTTATTATCAAAATAATATTTAACTGTTACAAAACGTAGTGCAACTGTAGAAGCTTGCTCTGTCGTCTCACTGAAATAATCACTTTTACCACGTTTTTTACAGACAATATTGAGAGATAAATAGTAGCAGTTCTCACTATGTGTTAAATATCTTTGCCTTCAATACATTAAATTAGAAAGCTGACAAAGTCATATTGCTTGTTATCATCTAAATGTAACTTTTTGCATGGAAAAAACCCTCAACTTAACCGATGTGTAGGTGATCTAGTATTTAGTATTGTTTAATGGAATGTATATCAGTGTATTCAAGTCAATACTTCATTCATTTAAACCAATATCTTTCTTGATTCTTTGTACAGTATGAAAAAAAGAGTCTTTGTACCTGTGCTGAAGTTCACTGCTGTGAGGAGTCCAGTTCTGTCTCTCACTCTCTGGTCCAGCCTGTCTGCATCACCTGGACCCCTTAAACAAACAGATATATATGTAAAGTACCATGTGTACAAACAATATAACTGATTCTCTTCTGTTGAACATGTTGGATTGTGTATTGTCCGAGTCAGGGGCCTTTTTATTTTACTGTAACTTTGGAAGTTGTGTTACCAATGCTTACTGTTTATTTGATACCCATTTGGTAATGCAATTAATAAAAACAACAAGGTTTGGGTTCGTTCTTCAGATGACTGTGACGTTAACGTGTAACGTTAACGTCAATAATGAACTCCAGCTCAACCAACCATATTGTAATATCTAAGTAATCATCTTGAAATATGACATTAATAATTGTAATATACACACATCTTATTGTGAGGTTGATTTCACATACACTACTTCGACATTAGCTTGTCTACATACTTGAGCATAGCCAATTTAAATTAACCTTAGATGCATACAGTTTCTACCTACATAATAAAATATCTCTAAGTTACAAGGATGTCACCTTATTTTATCAACCTCAAACAGAAGCCGTTTGTTCAACAGTATTATCCCACTTAACATTTGTCTATTTCGTTTTAACCTTTATATATACACAGTCTATTATTTTAACTTGGAGGCTACGATTACAATCGTTAGCACCGATGTAGCTACCACTAGCTTACATGCTAACCCAAGCCTTACCATTCATTACGTAGCTGATTAAAATCATTAATACATAAATAAAGCACTCGAATTTCACTTACCGCATTCATGCACCGTCTGTTTTAACCGCAGAGCGAGTCACAATAGTCCGATATATAAGCATGAAGAACAAACAGCCACGGCCGGCTTCAAGTTGTGTTTCCTGGATGAGCTGAGCAGGCAGAGTCCCTGTAGCTAGCTTCACGGAGCAGCTAGCAGAGAGACAAGAAGCTAACAGCAGCAGTCACTTCACAGAGCCGTCACTCAATGTGACCACGCCCTAATTTATGCACAAACTTTAAGACCTAATATAAATAAAAGGGTCGCGTTAGAAAACAATTCACTCACAGATCCATAATCATGAAGGTGGAATCTAACTATATCAATAATAAAATGTATGGAGCCAGGGGTAGAAACATGTTTTTTTCTGCTGTAAAGTTGGGCATTTTAACATGGGGGTCTATGGAAATTGCTCCTTTCTGCAGCCATCGCCTATTGGCCAATATATGAACTGCAGTGTGTGGCACTTCCGTATTGGCTTCCCGGCTATTCCCCAGAGTTTGCCGCTTGGTGTGAACGTAAACCGAACCTTCTGAAAAATGAAACAATGTAACAAACTGTCGTCTGGTGCGCACCAGAGAAGCGGACTATTAGGTGTGAATGCACCCTCAGAGTACAACAATTAAAATAAAATGATTTGCTTACTTTATATTGTTTTTTTCCAAGCATTTGCTGAATAACATTGTTGTATCAAGTTGCCACTTTCTGGGTAGAATTTTGCTTGACCATTTCAAGATCATGCCATGTTCAAAAACATTTCAAGTTACCTTTACATATTGGCAATTGCGCTTTAGCTATGTGGTCAGATCATTCTCGAATCAAATAAATGCTCGCAGAAGGATTTACTAAATGTAATTTGGGATTTATATAAAGATATCCGTCAACAAAAATATTTTTCAAAATGCACATAAACATTAAATGTTTTATATAAATGAAGAAACTAATCCATATAATATTGCACAAATATATTTTTGATCCACACATTAATATTTATTTTAAATAAACATCCATAAATATATATTTTTAAAAGTGTTCACAAATTTCATCCAACCCATATTGTTACACCTACAGGAGCTTTTCTCCCATTCCAATGTAGGCATCAATAAGAAGTTGGTCCCCCCTTTTGCAGCTTCCACTCTTCTTTTAGTGGTTGATCCTTTGTACGGTCCCATATGCTTTGAATTTTTGTTTCAGGCCCGGTCATGATACAATAGAGCCAAAACAGGAAGTCCTTGTCTCTGTGAGAGCCTGTGACAGTGGGGCAGGGTGTGGCCGCACTCTGTGCCCTGCTCGGTGTTCATGCGTTCATACACTCCTTGATCACTCAGGACTAACTCCAGCAGTAGCTCAGCTTTTTAACTGAGACTGCTAAATGTGGATTTAAGACTTCTCTTCACAAAGGTTTGGTTTAAATTGTGGTAAGGTGAACTGTCAATTAAATCTCATTTTATTTACAAGTTTCCTTTTTAAAAAGCATACTTTTTACAGAAACTAAAACATTTAGGATAAATGAATACCGGAATTAAATTCTGTCACCACAGCTGGAATTAAAAGACCAGCAGCAGTTTTTGTCATTACCCACACTATCCTATCTATGGATCGTCTGAAGTTAGTCCTGCAGTACTTTCAGTCCAATTCTGAGTCAATTTCCAATGGCATCTGTATTATCCTGGCCCTGGTCAGTGTCAAGCTGTACACCAGCTTTGACTTTAACTGCCCTTGCCTTCCTCAGTACAACAAGCTGTACTCTCTAGGTGTGATGATTGTGCCCCCCATCATACTCTTTTTCCTGGGGGTCCTAGTCAACAGACATACAGGAGTCATGATGGAGGAGTGGATGAGACCCGTTGGGAACAGATCTAAAAATCCTGCTGTGGTAAAGTGAGTCAAGGTTTTACTAAAACACTCAGAGGATTGTTTTCCTAATCAAATCCCTGTAACTAGTATCCTTTCAAGGTCATGTTTGGATGTACTTCTTACTCTTTTGAGGGCATAGTAAACTGAACAATACCATTGGTACATGTTGAAAGTTCTTATTGATTTTCATTAATCAATCTTGTCATTACAATACATATAATACAGAGCTAGAGTTGCAGTGATTGAGAGATCACTTAAATATATATAAATGACCTCTTTAACTATTAAGTAAGTCATTGATTTGGTAAATATTCTTGAAGATCTATGAAACTTTTAGATCTTTTCAAATATATACTGCACAAGTTAATGAGTGTGCAATAAGGTTTACTCTTAGACCTCTGAAATGAATTAGTCTCTGTTAATCATGTTTCTTTGCTGGAGTCAAAAAGAAACGTCACAACAAATAGTTCAAAGATTTTTCTGTTAATCTCAACAATTAAGCTGTTTCAATACTTGAAAGTCATGTAATAATAGCATTTGTCACTTTGTTTACAAAGTTCTGTGTCCACGAAAGGGATAAATCAGTCCTTGTTCAGGCTAAAACGAGAGGGAGGGAAACCAGGAGGCAAAATAAGCATTTGGGATTACATTAAACTAATGTCTTCCTGCAGGTACCTGTTCTCAGCCATGATACAGAGGGCCCTGCTGGCCCCCATGGTGTGGATCCTGGTCACTCTGCTGGATGGAAAGATCTTCATCTGTGCCTTTAGTGTTAGTGTAGACCCTGCACTCTTCTCAGGTATCAGTAACATTCTACATAGCGAACACATATTCAATGATTACTCTCACTACAATCTAAACTGTTACTGATGGAACGTTATTGTTCAGTACGATATCTCGTGGTATGTTTCCTCAGGTTTGCCCAACAACACAGGTCTGGATGTGATCAAAATCATGGCCAAAGTGCCCTGCAAGGAGGACATTATCTTCAGGAACAGCTCTTTCCGCAAAGCAGTCTCTCGTTACGTTCGCTGCTATTCCCAGGTAAGCTTTTACAACCTCAGCGAGCACACTAACACATTCATGTACTTGTATTCTCATGAAGAGCTTCTATCAGCTTTATGCTCTGTCAGACCGGGTTTTGGGATCATTTAAACCAAAAACATTGTCAGAAGTGCTGTGATACAGGTTTCAGGCTTAACTGAAGCTTGTTGGTTTACCGGGAGATATCATAGGCTCCTGTCATTACCCAGAGGCCTGACATCCACACTGGGCTTCATTTGGATGTTCTAGAGCACCTTATTTAGGTTTATGATTATGTAATGGAATATAATAATAATAATAATAATATATTATTGTTATTATTAATTATAATTTATTTTGAAAATGTTTTCGTAAATTACTTGTTTAAAAATGTAGCCCACCATATGGACAAAATATTAAACATTAACTTGTCAGTGCTTTCTGGTGGACAAACTTTACATTTTTCTAACTGATGTTAAACTTATCTTTAACATTTATTTTATGCAGATGAAAATGTTATTAATTGTTCATCCTTTTCTACAGAGCAAACTCTTGACTTCCTCCAATCTGCCTTTGATGTTTTGCAATCCCATTTGACTCAAGTCAGTATTAAATGCAGACAAATCCAAAGTCATGATATTCTCAAATGGCAAGAAGTTAACTTCTATTCTCCCCAAGATGTCTTCTGTTCAAAGGACTGACATCGAAATGGTCACTACATACAAATACCTAGGTTTTATTATTGTCACACACTGAAAATGTTGTTTCAAAGCTAAAAATTAAATTAACTTTATTTTACAGAAACAAATCCTGTTTCTCCCTTCAGGCAAGGAAACATTTGATTTCTGCAATGTTTGTACCGGATTTGGATTATGGATATTTGCTTTACATGAATGCCTCTGACCAGTGACTAAAGAATTTGGATACTGTGTACCATTGTGCATTACGTTTTGTTACTGGATGTTGATATTGTGTACACCACTGCACTTTGTATGCTGCTGCTAAATGGCCATCTTTGTCTGCACGCAGACATGTTTTATATGTAAATCTCTCCTTGGGCTGGTTCCCTCTTATATTTGCACATATATGTCCCAAGCTATTATTCAGATATTGGTTCCTAAAATGAAAACAGAACTAGTGAAAAAAGCTTTTTAAATATGCTGCCCCTTCTGCCTGGAATAATGTTCAGAAGGAGCTGAAACTGTCATATGTTATCACTATGTTCAAGTCCATCTCAATTAGACTTTTACCTGGTTAAATAAATGATATAAACTATATAGATAAAAGTATTGGGACACTCCTCTTAATCATTGAATTCAGGTGTTTCATTCAGTCCCATTGCCACAGGCAGGGGCGTTTCCTGTGTTTTTAAAGGTGGAAACATTAGGGGCTTTAAAAACACTTGATTTTCCAAATAAATCATTAACTATGTACAATTATTAGAAGTTGTTAGTAATTTGATTAAACAGAAAAAAAGGATGGAAGGAGGAAATAAGTTAATCGATTACATTTTTGTTTAATACATTTTAATCATCACAAGTAAATATATGACTGCTACCTTCATACCACCAAGGAGGAAGTCCCATCAATGGGTTCACTGAATACACTTGTCTATGAAGGGATTATGAGGTGTCTCCTCATTCTAACAAACTAATTATGAATTATGAATTATAATTAAAGAATTAATAGCACATTTGAAAAGGATGTTGCACAAAAAACTAATTACTCAACATTTAAAAATAACTAGCTATAATCAAACCTTGTTTTGGCTTCCTGATATTTTGAAGCTAATCAAATATCAGGAGATGCCAATTAATGATTCACCTACTGTATATGTCAATCATTATAACAGTATGCATATTTACACACAATATACATGACAATTTCTTTCTTGCTGAGCTTAGTATGAGTAGAAAGCAAACATAAATGTCAAAACCTTTTCTCTGCAGTTGAATCACACTGAATGCCTTTGAATTTTCTTGGTTTACTGTACCTGCCTTTTGAAAATGGATTAGCACTGGATTGGAGTTACCTTATCTTATGAAAGTTCAGCCACTTTGGCATATATGACTACACTATTTATAGTAATACCATCATTTTAAAATACATCAAAACTAAAATATGGCAGGTCAAAAGCATACTTTCCCATACTGCAAGACATTAAAACCAATTGAGGGTGGTGTAGCTGCCGTACCAGGCCGTGATGCAGCCAGTCAGGATACTCTCTATGTACCTGTATACATGTTGATGTATCCTTGGGCAACATACTTAACTCCAAGTTGCTCCTAATGATAATGTTGTGTGAATGTGTGAATGTTACCTTCCTTGATCATGGGACACCTTGCATGGCAGCCTCTGCCTCTGAAAGAATGGGTGTGAATGGGTGAATGCTGAGTTGTATATGTAAAAGCCCTTTGAGGAGTCCGAAAGACTGGACCGAGTGCTTTATAAATTGTTGTTGTTGCTTTGTGTAATTAATTTTGCTCGCCCTGTTTAGGCAGTTGGCTGGTCCATCCTCCTCTTCCTGATTGTGCTTGGAGCCATGGGACGCCTCATCAAGCCCTACTTCGATGACCACGCCACCTCTCTGCAGACACGCTACTGGAGCAACTACCTGGACGTGGAGCAAAAGCTCTTTGAGGAAACCTGTGTCCTGCATGCTCGTGACTTCGCCCGGAAGTGTGTGGTGCAGTTCTTCGAGGACATGAGGGAGGACGCCGTACTCCGTCTCCCGCAACCGCTTTTCCTCAGAAACTCCAGAGAGGAGTGGGATGATAAAGAAGAGGAGAGGCTTCACGGAGTGTCGAAGCAGGAGCAGGTGGACCAGCTGCTGAACAAGTGGTACCACAGTAAACCTGAACTAGATGTCACCAGAATGGCACACAGACCCAGGACCTGTGTGACCTGGGAGGACAGAGAAGGGAGGACTTTATACTCGGATGTCTAGGACACATTCGGAGATGTAAAGCTAAAGTTCCACTTACTAATGATGCCAAGCTTTCAGCTACATCTTCACAAAAGGAGCATGAATTAAAAATATATATAAATTAAATGATGTTACTACTGAAATGTTAAGGTAAATAAGATGCAGAATCAAAAACAGACATGCAGGTAGTACACTCAGAAGCCAATAACACACACACACACACACACACACACACACACACACACACACACACACACACACACACACACACACACACACACACACACACACACACACACACACACACACACACACATTACATTAAGGCAAGGCAGTATACACATTTAGAAACAGGAATGAATAAAAATGTGCCATTGGCTCCTAGAGGACTGCAAAGGGCTGCTCTTGGAGGCTGGCGGTTTTCCAGGCTAATTTGAATGTCAGAGTGTGGTGCAGCTGGTTTTGCATTCAGGTTGTTGACTTGGAACTTACTCACACAGATTTATTGAAAACCTGAACATTAGTGTACAGACTCACAAATATTCAATTTTTACTTTTTATAAAGTCTGCTTTAAAGATACATTATTTTACACTCGGTACTGTTTAGATGATGGTTAGGTATTTGGTCATCGACAGAAGAATTCATATTTTTGCTCCCCATATGCGTTTTCCACTGGGGAGGACACCAAAGGGCAGTCCTGCCTCATTGCAGTTTCAACAAGAAAGTCCAAAAAATAATATAATTTAGAACTGACAACATATAATTAACTTTTTTATAATAATAATATATAACATTTAAAAACGCATCCTTATTCTGCAATTCTTAAATGCATACATTTGTTTAGTACATCTTATTGAAGTCACTTTATCTTAATAACACATCTTGAGAAATAAATATTGATAAAGTATGTTTAATGTGAACTTTGCAACTAAATAAGTGGTCTACTTAACTTAAATCTTAGGTTCAAAATGTCCGGTAATAATTAGGGATGCTCCGATCGATCGGCCACCTATCATTATTGGCCGATATTCACTCTTAATAGTTTGATCGGTGCTCTCTATAAAGGCTGATCAGGAGAGCCGATCAGATGACGCAAAATACATGAGACTTTTCTCTGTGCGATGTAAAAGAAGCTCGCCGAAATGGCTTCACCGGTCTGGCAGTTTTTCAAGGTGTCCGAAAAAGACAACAAAATAGCTATATGCAACGTGTGTGAAGCAGAAAGAGAGAGAGAGATCAGGATCAGCTGCTGCTGACAGAGAACACGCAGCTCTACCGGATCACCTGCAGCTCCGCCCGCTGTGACGGACCAAAGAGCAGAGAAAAACACACACTAACGGCCCGTCTACACTACAGGCATAAAAAAATCTTGAAGCTGGGCGTGTCTGAGGCTTGGCGATTTCTCGCGACCAACAACCAATCACATGAATCTCCCGCCCCCGACATACAAAGCAATAGCAATGTTAAAACGAAGTAAACTGGATATAAAATCCCCAAACAGACGAAAACCTACCAGTTTCACCCACTGTCTCTGCCACCTCCCTCCATGCCTGGCTCCTCCGGTTTGTATCCCGTTAATAGTTATGGTCGTAAAGAACCGGGTGATTTGCTACCGTAATTTCTCGTTTGGAATATGAGGAAATGAACTGCGGTCTGGCTCTCCCAGCTTGCACGCGGTTTGATTGGCTAGCGCTTGTACTGGCGGGATTTGCATAAACGGGATTTGATTGGCTGATGCCAAGCATCGAGCCTCAAAAGTTGAACATTGCTCAACTTTTGATGCTCGCGATGCTTGCAAAGCCACGCTCCGCTCCCCACAATGCAGTTCGGAGAAGATTCAAAATCAACTACGTCACCCCATTCAAGTGAATGGGCGAAGCGTTGAAAGCATTTTTCGATGCCTGTAGTGTAGACGAGCCGTAAGAGTTAGATCTAACACACTTAGCTATTTTATCTACCTCTGGAACAAGCTAAACTAAATATGTTTATTCTTCACTTACTGGATCATTGAGCTGCATGAGACGGATATGGACCGGCTGTCAGGAGAGGGAGAGAGGTTCTGTTTATTTATCCTGTGTTAAAATCCAAAGTGAATGTAAAGTTTTGAACAATGTACTTCATCTACTATAAGTAGTTTGTTTGAATGTAATAATTATGTTATTTGTTGTTTGTGGAAGCGCATCATTTATTGAAAAATGATTCTGAACTTTTCGATCTGTTACGATTATAAACTGATTATTATTGAAACATGACCGGTAAGTTTCTAATTTGTCCGGTAAAATAAATTACTTCTGGACACTTGACCGGCAAGAAAAAATCCTAGCGCTAACCCTGGTCCGTCCCCGTCGTTGTATCACTTTTTTCCACTGTTTTTTTCACACCACTGGATATTTATTTGTTGCACTTTATCGTCTGTCGCTTTTTTTTAGCTTTAGCGACTGGTCTGCACCTGTAGTTTTTTTCACTTTTTCCTACTGTTATTTTATTAACTTTTTTCGACATGTCGGTTTTTTCACCACTTTTGGCTGCAGTTTTTTTCAGTTTTTTTTCACTGTCGATTTTTCACTTTTTTTTAAAAAACAGTTAGTTAACTGTCAATGTTTTTTTTTCTTCTTTTAACAACATTGACAGTTACCTAACTGGTTTTCAACAGACAGACAGACAGACGATAAAGTGCAAACAAATTCTTTTTTCTTTTTTCAACTGTCGTTTATTTTGCCTTTTAGAACATTTTATTTTTCCCATTTTTTGACTGTCAACTTTCAAATTTTTAGAAACTGCTAGCGCTGTATTTTTTTTCTTCACTTTGTTCTATTGTAAATTGTTTCACTACATTTAAAAAAAACTAAATTCTAATTTCGTTTTTTTCACAGGTTTAAAAAAAATGATTTGACTTTCATTTTTTATTATTTTTTCGTCAGGTCAGGGACAAAGGTACTTTGACCGTTTTTTTTTTTTACCCAGAAACGGTTCGTTTTTTTGTTCTCCTCTGAGGGCCGTACAAATTATTGACCTCTGCTTAAAAATACTAAAATCACAGCCCACTCATTTCACCTTTCTTTCATGCTGTGCAAAGAAAAAGCAACCTCTTAATCCAGATATTTTACCATGACTCACGTATGCATGCACGTGCACGGTTGTGGCATGACCACCAAAACAGAAAGATATGGACACAAGATGTGTGCAAATGTATTTAGACTCCTGTGAACATGATTTAAGTGGGGGGGACCTAACCTCCTCTAGGGGGATCTGGGGGCATGCTCCCCCGGGAAGATTTGTTTTTTTAAATGTTGAAGTTAAAAGCATCAATCTGGTGCACTTTGAGAGCAACATTAGGAGAGCTATGGAAACATCTCTCAACACCCATATGAAACAGAACTGTAAGCAGATTTACTTTTTCTTTATGGATATTTTACAAATCACTCCCCTTTAAACTGTATTCTTGTTTATTCATAACAACTTTTTTTTACTGTCATATAGTATGTCATACCTGTTTACTTTATTATCTTATTTTTTTATAATAATGATCATAAAGATGTGCCTTTACCTCACTGGTTGTAGAAAAAGCTTCTTATATTCGTTAGCATAGCTAGCTAACCAGATGATAATAACAAAGAAGTTATTGACTGTATAATCAGTATGACAGATGAACAGATCGCCACTGGGCTTTCAACTAAAGACACAGACACGCAGAAACTGCAGCATGTGTACGGCTCCTTATCGGTACTGCAATTTTTGGAAGTGCCGGAGCGGAGCGGCGTTCTGGTGCTCTCCGTCAGAACTACACCCCTGTCAGACGAGACATATACCACGTGATGACACGTTAGGCTCGTGTTGTGTTCATGGACCCTGACCTTGGCCAGGAAAAACAGGTACTCACTTGTTTAATTTTTTTGCGGTCTAGATTTCTTTAATTTTTTTCTTTTTTGCGTGTGTTTATAAATTACCTCAAGGGCCACACCAAATGGTCTCGCGGGCCGTATACGGCCCGGGGGCCGGAGGTTCCCCACCCCTGCTTTAGACAGTGCAAACATGACGAGCTTCTGCTATCTTTGATGAGCGTTAACATTATTTTTGGCCATACATTTTTCACAAGACTGATAAAGTTGGAATCAGTTGTAGTTAGACAACTATCACAAATACTATGAAATACTTTTACTGTGTACTTCTTGAGTACTCACCTGTCAAAGTCCCCGCCTGAGTACAACAATGCCTGTCTTTCTGCTACAGGTGCATCTCCATAAATTAGAATATCGTGGAAAAGTGAATTCATTTAATTAATTCAATTCAAAAAGTTTAAACTCATATATTATATGGATTCATTACACACAAAGTGAAATATTTCAAGCCTTTATTTGTTTTAATCTTGATGATTACGGCTTACAGCTAATGAAAACCCAAAAATCAGTATCTCAGAAAATTAGAAGATTAAATAAGACCAATAAAAAAGGGATTTTTAATACAGAAATGTCAGCCTTCTGAAAAGTATGTTCATGTGTATGCACTCAGTACTTGGTTGGGCCTCCTTTTGCATAAATGACTGCATCAATGTGGCGTGGCATGGAGGTGATCAGCCTGTGGCACTACTGAGGTGTTATGGAAGCCCAGGTTGCTTTGATAGCGGCCTTCATATGGGCATAGATATGTCTCATAATTATTTGTGTGAACATAAAAATAATTTGTGTGTAAATATGTGATTTGTAAATGTAAAACACCATCCACAAATGGATTTAAAAGATTTGCAAACTCACAAATAAATGTGCAAGTGTAAAACGGATCTGCAAATACGCTAAATATTTTCACAAATAAAAAAAAGATCTGTGATTATCTCTTTAACATTTACAACTTTCGATCAGGCATTTGTGAATCCATTTTGTATTTGTCGACCAAAAATGCGCTTGCGGATCTCAAATCTCTGCTCGTGGATCTCACATTTCTGCTTGTCTTTTTACACACATGGAATTTTGAGACATATTATGGAGTCAGATTTGGGTCAATATTCTAGCGCGTAAAACAAGCT